AGCAGGAGATCTCTATTTTTTGTTATAATCAAATTTCTTGAAGACAAAGTATAACAATTTGCGAGCACCTAGGAATACTCGTAATCAAATTCTAATAAGGTAAAGCTCCTTTATGTAAATCGAGGAATGGGGCGATAGAAGTGGTTAGATGTTCAGGCTGTGCAGATATATACCTTTTTTCTGATGCTTCCTTCTCCAAACATACAAGACCAAAACCAGTCCAAGGAGAAAAATTCCTATAGACAAAGTGCTTATTATGATTATTTTCTTCACATTGGAGTCAGCATTGATCTCTGCACCATCACCATTATCTGCACCATAACAGAAAGAAACTGAAGTTATAAAACTATAACAGGAAATGCAAAATGGCCATTGTATGTTTTTGGTTAGTAATTACTAATTAAAATGGGTGGAAAATTTTCTTCAGCTGATGGAATCCTTCCACTTCAGTTATCAAATCAGTCTATGATGTTAGAAAGTGATAACAGATTCGTAAATTTTAATGTTTCATGTCATGTAATGTTCTGTAAAACCACAATAGGATGCCCTGAAAGAAGAGGAGGCAGAAAATTTGCTTTTAATGCCATTTGATTTCTTTGTTACCTTTTGCTTGAGCAAATTTAGTATTAGAACCAATCATTTAGGCAGTTAGCCAAGTCAATAAATGACTCTCTGCAATTAAAAAATTTTGAATTTTGTACTCTGAGGATAAATTCATACCTAGTTCGGATGCAGCCATCCTGATATAAATATTTTGCTCGTTTTCAGAAATCCTTCTATTATCAATGAGGTCACCAAACCAGAGCAAGCATCCACTTCCTCCACCCCTGATGTCCATATTTGAATATGCTGTACAGCTGCAGTTCTTCAAGCACATGCTCTTGCATTCCTCAAGATCCAAACTCTTGTCAAACCATGACGCTTTTGTCTCAGGCATCTTCACTCCAGAGAGCTTTCGAAACCCATCTCCAGAACAATTAAGTGGAGTCCTTCTAACACAGCCACTTGACCATACTGTCACCGCCCAGTCTGTTGGAATTTTTGGTACGAACCCATCCAAGCATTCACACACTGGAGAGCTTTGAATATTGCATAAACCGTTTGCACCACAGAGTGCATAGCGATCACAATTATCTGAGTTTGCTGTTTCATAAAGCAACCAACTTTGCGTTTGCACTATCCAAGCGAGGCTCGGGATATTGCCACTCTGATCTGTCGTGAACCTCCAAAGCATTGACTTGTCAACTAGACTTTCTCTGTAGAATATCTCCTCCTCACTAATAACAAACTCAAATTTGTATACGGGATTTGGTTTCAAGTTAGGTATCCCACTGAACCGCAGGCCATCCCATGGCCCTGATCTGTACTTCATTTTTGAACCTTGCATCACAACCAACTCAGGATATCCGTAAGGAATAAGCATACAAGTAAAGTTACCTCTGGAAGGATCATCTGGTGACTTCCACGATGTCATGTACCACTCCATGCCAGTTATTCTATTCCTTCCTAGCTTCATGCCTGGCAATATTGTATCAGTTGGATGTTCAAAACTCTGCCACAAGGAATTTTCCAGGGTATCACCCTCCTCTTTCACAACAAGGTTTCCTGAATCCAGAAGTTGAGCAGCTGGATTAGAAGCAGATCTCGATGAGTTGGAAGACCAAATTATGGTCCCATTCTGATTGAGAATGACAAGAATTCCCAAGTCAGTTAGCCCTAAAACACCTGATGAATCATTAAGGGGGGTCTCTCTATTGGCAACCCAAACTATAGTCATGACAGGTATCTTTCCATACCATATCCCTACGTATCGGTTCTTGGATTCTCCAGGGCTGAAAAATCCCAACACATAGGTTCCTTCAGCTGAAACCATGGTATCACCATCTCTAATGGAATGAGTTGTGTTTATGGTGTCAGTAGCAGTTGCTGTTTCTACAATAAGCAATAAAGAGGAGCAAAAAAGAAGTACAAGAATGCAATGTTCCGGTGGTACTCCCATTGTTACTTTTTCCCTGTAACTCACTTTTTGATATTGATGGCTGCCATAGATGGTAAAAATGTTCTTGCTAAAAAGGGCATATTTGAGGGCACAAGTGGTCTGGTTTGAGCTGAGGCGTGGTTAGGTGGGAAGTCCCTTCATCAATATGGCTATTCAGTCAACGAAACAAGATATTTCAATGAAAGTGTTTTGTCCAATGATTTCGTCCCTACACTCTTCGAACTTATTTACTGGATCCCGTCAATGGCTTTTGATTTGATTGAATCCCTGTATATCATGCAATATCTATGATGTGCCCCCTTCTTTGAAGTTGACGATGAGTGAGCAAGATTGCACCAATATATTATTGACTTGTGTCCATTTCTAATTAAAAAAACATGTAAAAATATATTTTAAAAAAATTGAAATAAGTAGTTCCAATCCGTTGCGAACCTTCACATGCATTTTCTCTGCTTCGAATCACCCCATATATTTTTTATAAATTGAAAGCATCCCTATATTAAGGGTTTGTTCATTTAGATCCCTATAAAATGATTACTTATAATCCCTCCCCCCTCCCCAAAATAAATAAATAAACAAATAAATGTGCTGTAGCTCTCTCACTAGTTATTGCTACTCTACTGTGGACATTGTTTATGACCATAAAAATTTGATAAGATGGTTGAAACTTTATGATAAAATAATGCAAGATAACATCAAAAAAAGATATATGATTCATTAGAGTAGTGCCCTAGAAAAATAAATTGAACAAAATAAAGTGAGTATCTAATTATATTCAATTAATTAATTATATTTAATTCAAAAATAAAATTTATTTAGTAAAAAAACAAAAGGACGCTAATAACCCAACCAAATTAAAAAAAAAAAGGATAAAACAATGGATGTAAAAAGCATATGAAAAACACAAAGCTCAATCTCTAATAAAATAAATATTAAATAATAAAATTAAAAAATAACTTAAAATAATTATTAAAAAAACAAAGCAACTCCTAGTAAACATCTTTAAGCTAGCTTAGTTTCCCAAACTACATCCCATGAAATTTCAAAATGAATTTAATCTAAAACCTCAAATTCAAAATAATTTAATGTTGAAGAATGAAATTGAGTACAAAACAATATTAAACTAAAAAAAATAGTAAAGCAAATATAAAAATAAAGATAAAATCTTATAGGAAAACAAATAACTGAGGGTGAATTGCTAAAAAATTAAATTATAAAAATTATTTTAGATGACATAAATAACAATTGAAAGATGAGTATCAAATTTGACAAATAAAAAAAATTAAATGAGGATGAAATTAAAATAAATTGTTATTTTCATAAGTTATTTCAAATAAAATAAATATTAACTAAAAGATTAAGACTTAATTTTTTTTAAAAAAAGCTAGGCGTATGATTTGAAATATTGCATGACAAGGCATAAAAATCAAGGGAGAGGAAGGAAAACAAATAATAAAAAAAAGAAATAACTACTAGAGTTAAACCAAAGTTTTGTTTTCTGTATTCATTACGTATTCATTACGGTTACATAGAGCAAACACCAAGAAAAATCTAAAAATGTCCTGAAAAGACATTTTTTATTACCAAAATAAACCACATGTATTATATAAAGATAAGCTGCGATAATTTTTAGATATAATTAAATTATATAATATAATATTAAAAAAAATTATGAATTGATAATTATATATATTTAGTTTAATTTTAATAAAATATTATGTTAAGTGAATTACTATGTTTAATTATAAAATTGAATTATGAATTGTGATCGATGATGGGTTGGACATTGATATAATTAGAAAACTAATTTGGTGTTTTTCATGTTAGGAGGGAGTTAAAAGCCTAAATTTTTTTTTCATCATTGCACCTCATGAAATTATTTGAATATTCTAAGGAATGTGTTCTATTGATTGATTCGTTTATTTATTGAAAAGTAATTTTTTTTATTAACTTTTTTAATAATAAAAAAAATATAAAAATTTAATAAATAATTTTTTTAAATATAAATTTTAAAAAATAAACATTACCTGAAAAAATTTAACGGTGTTAAGGTAAAAAAATGAAAATCCTCCTCTCCCCTCCTATAGTGCCACCAGCATTGAGTAGATAGGGACAGCTCGAAATAGCAACCGGCACAACGACCACGAAGAGAAGAAAGGGGATGTCTGCAAGCATGAGAATGATTATTTTTTATTTTTTAAAATGTATTTTTAATATCATGCTAAAAAATAATTTAAAATAAAAAACAAATTGAAACTGAATACCAAACCCCTCTAATAGAATGAAATATTAAATATTTAAAATCTGATTGTCGTTCAGAGGCGGGCTGAGCAGGTGAAATAAACTAAATAAAGCAGTCAAAAGCGACGCCGCCGTGGTTGGCAACTTGGTATTTTTAACTTGTATTTGTGTGGATATGTGCGTTTCTATTTATTTATTTATTTTCTTGGCAAACCAAGTTGCCATGTTGCCATGTGAAACATTTTTTTGCTCAAAAATACTAGACTCAACAATTAACAATTATTATAGTTTTAGGTTTATTAGCAACGTTATATATAGTTTCTTCACTACAAAAAATTTAAATTGATTTTTAAAAATATAAAAATTATTTTATATTATTGATTTATCATTTCTAAATAGATTGATACCAATGAATTATTTGTTTTTACGTTTTAAAAATATTTTTTAAAAAATTTAATTTTTTTATTTTTTATTTATTTCAAATTAATATATTTTTAGTATTTTCAAATCATTTTGATATATTAATATCAAAAATAATTTTAAAAAAATAAAAAATATATCATATACATGTATTTTAATATAATAAATTATTTAAAAAGTAATCATAACTGCACTTTCAAATAAACTCCAAATAAATATTTTTTTCATTTTATATTATATATAACAAACATAGTTAAACATGATTTTCTCACAGAGTCGGCAATATTGTGAGACTTTTACTGCTTAAAAATATTAGATTCAATAATGCTTGCTATATATATATACATACACAGCAAGCATTGTTGAATATGCCCCACGATGCAGAAAATGTCGGGGCATCGTCGAGAAAGGATGGACGTATAGTGGGAAGTCTCTTTCTAGGAAAATAATGACTTGTAGTAGGGACAGGAGGGACGCCATTACATTGGGAAATCTCTGATAATTTTTTTATATATTTATTTTGTTATCTTTACTCTTCACAAGCCTTGAATCCGAAGGATCCTCTGCATGATTGGCCTTGGTACGAAGATTGATATGAAGTCAACAGACTACATAGGTCAAAATTCAAGTTCATTATGTCGTCATTCATCCCTTGATGAATATATAAAAGGATGGATTGCTTATGGCCTGGATAATTTTTGAAAGAAAATTAATTCTTTTGACATTTTACATTCGTTTTCCTGACAGAAAATTAATTGAAGTATTTTATACAACATTTATGACAGAATAAAAATGTTCCATAGGTGAAATATTTTTTGTTTCATATTTTGATTTTTGAAAAATACAAAATTAGAAATCCTTTTCAATTCCTTATCATAAAAATATATAAAAAAACTCAAACATAAAAATTTGAAATTAAATCGAATTAATGTAATTAAGGAAACATGTGTTTATTTTTCCATATCATTATCAATGAACTGATTTTTTCAATTAAATTAAATGAAAAAAAAACACAAAATACAAATATAAGATATTTATGCAAAACAATAATATCCAAAATAAGCAAAAAGCTGAAAAGAATTCATAAAACCAAAATATTTTTATCATCACCAAATACAAGGTTAGACACTATATTATTAAAACAATAACAAAATGAAAAAAATAAAAAATAATATCATAACAAAATAATAAACCTTAATATTTAAGAAAAAAACTTTAGAAAATTGTAAAGAGAATAGGTCAGAAAGAAGATACTTTTCTTTTTATTTTCTAAGATAATCTTGTTGGTTGATAGATTGTGAGAGTGTAGAACGAAGAAAAAAGAGAAAAGAAGAAGAAGAAGAAGGAATAAAGAAGGATTATTGGAAATTTTGTTTAAAATATAATTAATGAGCATAATTAAGGTTAGATTAAATGTGTAATTTATTATTTTTAGGATTAAAATTTTATTAGAATTTAATTTCCAGTATAAACCTTAACATATAATATTAATATAATTTAAATAAATAATGGGTGAAGAAGAAATTGTTTTAAAAAAACTCACAACTCTCCAAAAACTTGTATTTCACGTAAAAAAAAAAAAGCTTTCTTTATTGTATATATGATGGGAAAATAAAAAGTTAAAATTAGTTTTAAATAACATTTAAGTTTTAAGAAAAAAGAGAATTTAAGTAAAATAAAATTTGAGTTTAAACTTACATGCGGTGCTCGACTCGCATTCGAGCTCTAGACTTGAAGTTTAGATTTATTATAAAATAATATTTAAATTATAAAAAATTATTTTTTTTAACTTAAATTTAAATTTTTGCTTATCCATGAATAATAGAATCTTTTTAGTTTTCTTTCAAAAGATTTTTCTCTAAACTTGAACAGACAGTTTACGGAGCAGAGAATCCCATCCATTTTGATTCCTAAATTTTTTAATAAAATGGGTATATAAAAGAGTGTTTCGGGTTATTTTTCATTTTTCATTTTTCAGCACAAATTATATAGAATTTTTTATATTTTTCTTCACCTAAATTATCAATTTTGCTTCTGTAATCTATACTCTAGTTTTCTTTTATATATTTTTTTTCTATTCTGGAGCCTATAATTATGTTTTATGAAGTACAATTAAATAAAATGGTGTCACTGCAATCATGTAAGGTTTATATGGTTTTTTATGCAAAAGACGAATACAGAGAGCTTTTAAAGCTCGCGTATCATAATATAACTAGGCCGAAGCCTACAGGCCCAGAATCGTTCAGGCCCATTTTCTCCACACAACCCATAAAAAGCATTTGATTTTCTTCCGACAGATGTCTTCCAGTGTTCGGCAAAAGTCCTCAACGAGAAAAGCACTGCTTGGAGCTGGAAGAGACTTCATTTTAACCAAGCATTAGCACGTCAGTTGAGTCTCTCACAACGAGCACTTAAGGTTCCTAAGGGAAACCCAGGTAGGAATTCGATTTAGTTCTACAATTGTGCTACCATGAAGGTAAATAATATGAAGCTCTTCATCTTTTGATTTCATGTGTTACTCCAACGTGCCTGTGGTTTCCTCGGCTGCTGGCAAGCGTAAAAGCTACGGGAAATCTCCACAGCGAGAAACTGTGCCACCTCTTGGACGAGACTTTGCATTACCAATATACTATCATCGATCTAGTCTCTGCAAACTGGATGGAAAGTACGTCCTTGACGCAGAAAAAGAAAGGAAATGAAAGTAATCAATAATTTCATGCTCTATTTCTTTATGTTTCATCCAGTGGTGGCATGTGGTTTCTGCGTTTCTACTTTTCTTACAAGTACCATATAGAAGTCATATATTTTGCTCCATTTCAGCTACGTTCAGTGGGTTTTTCAAGTTGATGTTGCTAACAAAAGTATCTAACTGTCGTTTTCGTACATGGACCCAATAATCTATGCAAATAGCAGAGACGAATGAGCCTAAAAAGAACACTAGTTTCTGTGAACATGACAAGAAACAAAATAAATCAGTGACCAAAAAAAAGAAAAAAGTTTCTATCTTGCCTCTAATAGGGTTATGGTGGAATCATTGACTGAACATGATGTGTTCTTTATTGATGAAGAATTTGCTTCAACCAAAGTTCTTTCAGTAAAGAAACCTGGTTGTTTTGGCTGAGGCAATTTACCTTCACCACTCAACATTAAAACCACAGATGACATGCCTGGCCTATCATTTGGATGGCATTGCACGCATAATAAACCCACATGAATTGAACGAAGCGCTTCTGATAAATTGCATGATTCTGCTATTGGTTCAGTAATTAGTTCAGAAGACCTGCCTTCTGTAAATAGTCTCCATGCCTGATGGTTAAAATCATGTTATAGGAAAGAGATTCGGTAGGTAGAATTAAGAAAATGTCTCAACTTTTTTTGAAACTTACATGGCCAAGAAGGTTGAGGTGGTGGTCTGGATGACAGAATCCTCTATTCCTGTTCCCATTCATAATCTCTAGCACCAATACACCAAAGCTGAAGACATCAGATTTCACTGAGTAGAGCCCATCAATTGCGTACTCTGGTGATATGTAGCCACTGCAGGCAAACATTGGATGTTAAATCACATTTGCTAGTAATGGCCATAAAGTGCAAATGCCGGAGGTGCTTACTATGTTCCCACCACCCTTTTTGTGTTGGCTTCAGTTTCATTTTCTCCAAAACTTCTAGCGAGGCCAAAGTCTGAAATTTTTGGGTTCATGCTGTTGTCTAATAAGATATTGCTGGCCTTCAAATCTCTGTGGATTATTCTTAGTCGTGAATCTTGGTGAAGATAAAGAAGTCCACGAGCAATCCCGTTGATAATGTGATAGCGCTGTGGCCAGTCCAGTAGTGAGCTATGTGTTCGATCTGTTAAATTTTTGCTCAAGTCAGTAAGCATATACAAAAGAAAGTCTAATTAACATTGTAATGGTATGCAGAGTTTCAAACCAAAAATAAAGATGTCCAAGCTTTTTTTAGGCATGAACTCGTAAATCAACATCCTTTCATCTGCTTCCATGCAGCATCCCAAAAGCTTAACCAGATTCCGGTGTTGAAGTTTTGCAATATGCATGACCTCATTCTTGAACTCATCAAGTACTTGTCTTGAGCTCTTTGAGAGCCTCTTCACAGCTATTTCTTGTCCATCTTCTAGCATTCCCTGTAAATAATCATACCTTGCAATTAGCAAAGTCAGTTGATATCCAAAATTTGAGAATTTGCTTAATGCTGCATGTTACTTGCATTTGTTTGAACTGATAAAAATTTGGAACACTTTGAAAGCAATTGCTTTTGCATCTGTAAGAAAGGGTAAATTCAATCTATCAAATAGATTTGAGAAAACTAGTACCAGCGAACTACTATGGTGGCCTGGAGTTTCTTTTATGAATCTCAGTGCCCATCAATAAGTTGCATGATTACTTGTTATATCATTACCTTATAAACAGGTCCGAAACCCCCTTCTCCTAGTTTATTGGTAAGAGAAAAGTTGTTGGTGACACAAGCAATTGTACCGAAATCGAACAGCTGAAGTTCTGGATCTTCCTTCATGCAGGTATCATCTCTTCTTCCTTCAAGAATACCTGTCACTTTTCCTAAGAAGTAAAGTAGGAATGAAAAGGTAACCGATCTCTATTTTATGATGTACACACATTTCATTGTCATTTCAAATATAATAATGATTGTGATTTGTCACTCAGATTACTACAGATCAAAGTTAATTGTATGTAGAAAATTGCACTGGGCAGGGGAAATAGCTAATTCTTTAGATTGAACAACTTACTGCCCTTCTGCTGCTTCTTTTTTCGAACAAGTAGAACCAAGACTATGCCAAGAAGCAGCATCCCTGCTGATACCACAGAGATCACTATGATCCTCATATGTTTCGTTTTATTGGATTCAGTCCCCTCTTTATCATTGTGATCTGACACAAGGCAGTTGGCAGAAAACTGGCAGTTAAAGATCAACAATATGAAAGTACAGCCATTCACTATTTTATTTTTTGGAGAAAGCACACTAGCGGGATCCGTCTCCTTCAGTTATATATACTGAATTCACAATAAACAGTGTCACAGAATATTTTAGCGATCAGGATGGACCTCTATGGAAACTGCATGATTTTAATACTACTTGAGGTGTATAGAAGTTACAATTACCACTTTTGTAAAGTAAATCAGTCCATCATGTTGCCAGATGATATGTCTACCTATTCATTTTTATTGTCTCAAGTTCTCTTGTACCCTATAAATTTAGTGCTAAGTATTTACGCGATGTAGACCAACTAGCATCAACAAACACATGCATCCACATACCTATGACCTGTTATAAATTTCAATTCCCTGATTTAAGGATGTTAAAGAAAGCAAGAAAATTTGCTTCACTTGCATGTTGCTTTTTTTCTAACCTTTCACATCAGTTATCTTGTGGTTAATCTACTTTATACATGAATTAAATTTTAATGTTATTGCAATCCCAGAATTAAAGACTGTTTTTTCAGGTTATAGATAACTTCGTACCTTGTTCTGATGCAGCCATCCTTATATAAATGTCCTGCCCGTTATCATTGAATTGTCTAATATCAATCAAGTCACTGAACCAAAGCAGGCACCCACTTCCTCCTTCCCTGATGTCCAGATTTGCATAAGCTGTACATGAGCAGTTCTTCATACACATGCTCTTGCATTGCTCAAGATTCATGCTCTTATTAAACCACGATTTTCTCGTCTCTGGCAGCTTTACGCCAGAATACCTTCGAAACAAATCTCCTGTGCAGTTTAGTGGAGTCCTTCTAGCACAACCATCTGACCAGTTCATCATGTCCCAAGTTCTTGGAACTTTCGGTAGAAATCCTTTCAAGCAACCACATGCTGGGGAGTTGTTAATATCACAGCTCCCATATGCACCACACAAAGCATATCGGTTACAATCATCAACAATTAGTGTAAGGTAAAACGCCCAGATGCCTGTTTCATCGGTCCATGTTAAACGCTGGACGTCCCCAGTTTGAGTTAGCACTAGCCTTGAAAGAATTGAATTGTTAAGAAGCTGGTATCTGTAAAATATCTCCTTGTCATTAAAAACAAACTCGTATTTGTATACAGGGTTTGGCCGTAATTGAGGACCGCCAAAACGCAGGCCATTCCAGGGTCCAGACCGATACCGCCGAATTGAATTCTCTGTCAGAATTTGCTCAGGATATCCACTAGGATTAAATCTAAAAGAAAAGTTACCTCTAGATGGATCGTCAGTTGTCTTCCATGATGTCAAGTACCGATCAAAGCCTGTTATTGAATTCCTTCCCATCTTCATCCCTGCCAGGAGTGTATCACATGGATAATCGAAACTTTGCCACAAGGAGTTTTCCAGGTCACTATCATCCTCTTCTTTGACAACAAGATTCCCTGAATCCAAAAGCTGTGCTACTGGAAATCTTGCAGACCTAGAGGCGTTGGAAGACCAAATGATGCTCTCGTTGTGATTGAGCAGGACTAGAAGTCCATCGCCAGTAACCCTTAACACACCTGATGAATTGGTGAGGGGGATTTCCCTGTTGGCAACCCAAACCACAGTCATGACGGATACCTTGTTGAACCATATACCCAGGTATCGGTTTTGGGAGCTGCCTGGGCTGAAAAATCCCATTTTAAAGCTCCCATCAGCAGAGACCATGCTGTCTCCATCGATATCTCTGATAGATTGAGTTGTATTTATGGTGTCAATCGCAGTGGATATTTTAATGATCAGCAACAAAATAGAGATGTAAAGAAGTGCAGAAGTGCTATCTACACATGCATTCATAGTTTTTGCTGCACTGAACTTTGTCATGGTAATGCTTGAATCAACTTTTATTTCTTGGCTTCTTTTACTTTGATTTTTGGTGAGCAAGTGATGAATTAGAATAATGATGAGTCCAAAATTTCTATTAATTTTCAATGTTCTTCTTTATGGTCTCTGAAATGGACTTCCAACTTCTGAATGATAATAGGTAAATAAGACTACTGGATGACGACAATTTGACCCCCCGTGTGCTTTCTCATTCTCTACCAACAATGCCGCCATAACTATAGTTTCAAATGTCTTCTATGAGTTGTATGATTAGCTTATTCGAACACTTTTCTTCTTTCAATACTAACAAAACGTGAACGCTTTCAAATAGTCATTGAATTTGTCTTTCTTCTTAGTCTTGAGGAGTTGTATAGATCTTGGTTCGTGGGAAATCAAGTCGATTGCCGCTTTCTTAAGTAAGGGAAAAATCCCTACGGCATGTAAGCGCCCCTTTTCGAGGGGACGGGTCCGTGCTGTAGCGGGCGAAGGAAAGATAGCGGGCTTGTGACGGAAGCAGAGAAGACTTTTCGCTTCGCCCCCTTCGCTAGTGATTCTTTCACGTGTTTGAAAATATTTTAGTGTTTATTTTTAAAAATTATTTTTTATTTAAAAATATATTAAAATAATTATTTTTATTTTTAAAAAATTATTTTTTATATCAATACATTAAAATAATTTAAAAATATTAAAAAAATATTAGTTTGAAAAAAAAAATTAAAATTTTTTTAAAATAAAAAATAAACAGGACAATATACTCTAGTCAAGCTCTCTACTGAAACTCTGAGTCCATCCGAACCTGCACCAAAGATAAAAGGAAATGTCCATTTTTCGGGAAAGAAAGTATTCAGTGGGAAAGAGTGTGGTGAACATAATAGCAGTTATTTTTTAAAGTTTTTTTTTTAGAAATATATTAAAATAATATTTTTATGTTTTAAAATTATTTTTAATATTAATATATTTAAATAATTTTAAAATATAAAAAATAATTTTAAATAAAAAATTTAAATTTTTATGAAATATTGTTCTGCTTTCCCAAACAGCATCAAACTTATCCGTAAAATACCAATATATATATATATATATATATATATATATAGAGAGAGAGAGAGAGAGAGAGATTTAGATAGTAACTTTAAGATTGACTTGGTATTAAAAGGTTATGTCTTCGGTTCAAATCTTGAAATTAATATTTAATTAAATTTATTAGATATACTAGATAAGTACAAGGATGCATGCATGAGATAATTTTATAAATAAAATTTAGTATTCATTGTCGCGTAAAATAATCTGGTTTCAAAATTGAAATTTCGTGGACACAACACATACATAAATTTATGCAAGAAAACGGCCTCTTTGTTTGAAAGCTGTTGTCCCTTAGCGGGATGTACATGACCAAATCACATATGCAAATTTTGTAAACGAGAAAAAACTGCAGGAAAATAATTAAATATATTCGAGGGATGGACTCCATTATATGAAGAGTTTATTATTATTATTATTATTATGGTAATAGTTATTTTTTAAAATTTAATTAAAAAAATATAAAAGCATGGAAAAAAGAGTGCTTACAAAAATGTTACCCACAGTATGTTAAACCTAATAATTATAAAAATCTTACCCATAGTATGTTTGACCTAATACTCATAAAAATGTACATCCACGGTATGTACATCCACGGTAAGAATTAACCACCTTTCCAAATGGAAGAAAAGTTTTGAGTGATTGGTTTTCATGAAGAGTTTATTATTATTATTATGGTAATAATTATTTTTTAAAATATTTGGTAATAGTTATTTTTTAAAATATTTTTTTACTTGAAAATATATTAAAGTAATATTTTTTATTTTTTAAAATTTATTTTATTAAAAAAATTATTTTAAAGTAAAAAATAAAAAAAATATTTTTTTAAAAAATTATTAAAAAAAGAGATCACTTTAAACTTCAATCTGCTTTTTTTAAAGAATTATTAAAAGGGATGTGAATTTCCCTCTTTTTTTTTTCCATACCATATGCTATTTTATGATGTGTGCTTATGAATATGGAATACTTCTTACATAAATATTAGCTTATGGTTGAACTTGAAATATATGTTTTGAGTTTTACTTTTGGGTTTAACCTTGATATTTAAAAGAATTCTAATATAATTATTATGCGTGTTTGATATTGTAGGCAAGTAATATTAACAAAAAAAATTATGTATTCTAAAAAAGGAAAAACAAAAAAATGTTTATTTAAATATAATTCTTTAATGGAGAAATTTCTGAAAATAATAATAAATAAATTAGATAGAAAAAGGTTCTGGAAAATAAAAAATAAAAAATAATTATTTATAAAACCAAGAAAAAATAGAAAATGAAAGAGAAGAAAAGCCAAATCCATAAAACTCAATTGAAGTAAAAAGCTTGTCATTCAAATAAAAACTTCCAAACTCTTTTGACCCTAAACAACAAGAAAAGAAACGAAATTGGCCTCGAGCCGGACGAGACGCCATTCATTTACCACCTGTTGGAATTTCCGGTCACCGGAGAATGAAGTTTACTAGATCCAATTTTTATTTCCCCCCCTCCATTCCCAATAACCACCAAAAATAATTTACTCTACTTCCTAAACAATATTGAAGCAGCTAAAACTAGACATCCCCGTGATTTAGCTTTCAAAAATGATTATTGATAAAATTTTAATAGCTCACATGAAGAATATATATAAAAAAAAAGGTTAAATGGAAAAATATATTTTATCATATATTATAATGCAAAAAAAATAAATCGTATTTTGTTTTTCTCGAATTCATTGGCGTCTGGTTAGCGAATGTTGGATGGAGTTGTGGTGCTTAATTTGAATAGAATATTCGGCTGATTTTTAAACCTTGAATCTGAAAAAGCATCCCATTTCAATTTTAAGAGAAAATTATTTGATTTTTATGAAAAAAATGTTGTGAAAAAAGTAATGAAATTCATAATTTTTTGTTGGTGATTTTGAAATTGTTTTTTTTATGTGAAAAAATAAAGATTTTGTATATATTAGACTCTGTGTGTAAACTTAATTATTTATAAAATAAATTTTAATATTATATATCGATCTTTATAATAATTAAATATTTTGAAATTATAAATAATTTTAAGGATGTACATCTCTAAAAAAACATCAAATATAATATTTAATTGTTTTTTAAAAAAGCATTAAATCTAGAGAATTCAAAAAATTATTTTAAAAATAAGTTTTAGAAAATTTTATATATGACTTATTGAAAGGTCATTTGGAAAGTTATTTGTTCATTAAATATATGTTTTGAGGATACAATAATATATTGTACTGCATGGAAGGAAATATTTTATTCTATTATATAAAATGTGACCACTGTGATTTATATCTTGTGTTTTTAATTTAAATATGAGTGTTTGTTATTTTTATATATTTTGAAATATGATATTATCACTACTTTTGATGGTGTCATATATCATATGAATTTTAAATTAAGTGACAATTAAGATTTAAAATATATTGGACTCTAGTAATGGATCAAGTATATCCATAATGAATAGAGGTGCAAAAGTTAGATTATATATAAAAAGTTGCTAATCTAGCAAAAAAAAAAAAGATTAATGAAAAGTTTATTTGATTTCTGGATAAATACTTCAGTGTGTGTGTGTGTGTATATATAATGATAAATTTAAAATGGCAAGCATATTAACAAAACAGAGAATTAATAGGATATTCCTATTAATTCTCTGTTTTGTTAATATGCTTGTCATTTTAAATTTATCGTTCATGATAATGTTGGCAAAGACTTGATTAAGTTCCTACAGAGATTGGAGAGCATGAATAAAAATAAAAGAAAATAATGTAGTACAGCGTATGAATGCGTTTTGATCCATTTATAGAAGATTGATTTCTTGTTAAGATTGTAAGGTTATCGAGCTGTCATTTCCTCATACAACAGGTGATACTTTGATCAAGCTTCATTATCTCTACGAGCAAGGATACAGTATTATCCTTCTAACCTACTATAGAAATCATTAAAAAGACTTGCAAGAATCTTTGGTTTCTATAGAGATGAATGGTAGACTCAAAAATATCAGACCTGATGTGCTGGAATGATGATTCGGTTGTGATTGAGAAGGACTAGAATTCCCTCACTAGTAATCCTGACACTCCTGAAGGATTGATGAGGGGGATTTCCCTGTTGGCAACCCAAACTACATCATGATAGATACGTTTTTCGAGCTGCATGGACTGAAAATTCCCAGTTTAAAGCTTCCAGCAGCTGACACCATGGTTGAGAGATTGAGTTGTATTTATGGTGTCAACTGCAACAGATATTGTTATAATCAGCAACAAAGCTGAGGAAAAAAGGAGCATGGGAAGGCCATTCTCTGTTAATCCCATGATTCTTTTTTTTTTTTGTTCCTGGAAGTACAATGTTATTTCAATGGCTATTGAGATGTAAGAAATGACCTTTGGGAACAAAAATGAAGATTTAGGATATCTGTGCCTGAAATAAACCTCTTTTTTTTTTTTTCTCTTTTTCTGGAGAGGAGAAATTCTCGTTGTTTATGTTAAGGACCTAACTCCAAAATTATAGCTAGTCTCAATGCTGAGCCCTTACACTCTTTTAAATTGACCTTCATCTTTTGGATTTTATGAGTTGGTAAATCTGCTATTAATCAGCGGACCGTGAGAACCAAAAATCAGAAAATATTTTCAGACTGGTTTTATTAAGTACACACAATTTAGTTTACATGGCTCAGGTTTATGGAGTATCCAGATGATGCTTAGACCACCCCTCTATTGATGCTTTGTGGACCTGAACTATGTATTTCAAGAGAGTTTTGAGATTTTTTGTGGACCTGAATTATGTATTTCAAGAGAGTTTTGAGATTTTTGGCTTTGTCGGATTGTTTTTACAACGTTAAAATAAACATTTTTTCATCAAGTTTCGTGCTGTGAAAATAATCAAGAGTACCAGTAATGAAAGGAAGAACTTCTGGAAACGTATGGCAGAAAATAGGACAAAATTGGTAGGGTGCACTGATTGAGAATCAGAAGCGATACCTAGCTTTAGCTTCTGCAAATCCTGTGAAGCATGCTACCAGATTGGTTTGCTTCCTCGTACAAAAGAAAACCATCCTGTTCAAAGAAAACCTCTGTCAAACCCAGCTGGGATAGTTAGGAGAATGACTTGGGACCTAAGTGGGATTTGGTTTGTGGTTAGAGCAGTTACAATGTTGCCCATCAAAACAATCTATTTCCTCACAAATTGAATTAGATCGAAGAGCCTATATCTCTGAGAATGTTGGTGAAGTCTTGCCTTCAATACAAGATAGTGAAACAGTAAAAGAAATGAATGTAGTACAAGACATGAAGACATTCTTATAAATATACAAATCAGTTCTTGTTAAGAAAATAATCACTGACATTTCATGCATGCATACAGAAAGCAATGATCAAACAACTAACTTAAACATTATATCTACATACGAATGTAACAAGTATACACGCTGTCCTCCTATCCAAGTAGATGAGCGCAAAACGTAAGCGAGACTTAATTAGAAGCAAACTACAGCTTCAAGATGTAGAATGTCTAGCAAAAACTAATCTATCTTGCCTCTACCAGTGAAATCGAGCAATCGTTTGTTGAATATCGTTTGCTTTGGCTTGGTAGATTGCTCGATTCAATAACGTCCCTTGCAGTAAAATAACCCGGCTGTTTAGGCGGAGGCAATTCATCTTCATTACCTAGCATCAAAACCACATACGAAATGCTTGGCCTATCTTCAGGACTTTGTTGCACGCATAATAGCCCCAGTTGAATCACACGTAGCACTTCAGATAAATTGCATGTTTCCATCGTCTTTTCCGCAATCAGTTCCAATGGCCTGCCTTCATTAAACAGTGTCCAAGCCTGTTAAGATAAATCATGTTACTAAAATGAGATCTCATACCCAGAACTAAAAAAAAAGCTTCAGTTTTTTTATGGCAGAACTTACATGTCCAATTAGGTTGAGTTGGTGATCTGGATGATAGAATCCTCTGTTCCTGTTGCCACTCACTATCTCTAACACCAATACACCAAAGCTGAAGACATCTGATTTTAATGAGTAGAGTCCATGGAACGCATACTCTGGAGATATGTAGCCACTGGAAATATTCAAAGAACGTTAGATGGCATCTGTCAGAATTGGAAGTAAACTATGTATGCTGGAAACACTTACTATGTCCCCACCACTTTCCTTGTTTTGGATTCAGTTTCATTTCCTTCAACACCTCTCGCCAGCCCGAAGTCTGAAATTTTTGGGTGCATGTTGTAATCTAATAAAATATTGCTGGCTTTTAGATCTCTGTGAATTACTCTTAGTCTTGAATCTTGGTGAAGATAAAGTAGTCCACGAGCAATCCCATTGATAATATTGTAACGCTTAGGCCAATCTAATAGCACGCTCCGTGTGTTATCTGTCTCAATTACATATTTTTCACACGTCAATACATGTCCTTATCAGATTCTTAAATGCATGTCAAAGAACCACTTGTATCCTATTTAAATTATCATTACAATGATGAAAATATTAGTGAAGTATAAATGATCAACTAAATCGGTATAGGTTAGAGATCCAAACCAAAAATAAAGAAGTCCAAGCTTTTGTTGGGCAAGAACTCGTAAATCAACATCTTTTCCTCTCCTTCAATGCAGCATCCTAGAAGCTTCACTAGATTCCGGTGCTGAAGGTTCACTATATGCCTGACTTCATTTTTGAACTCATCGAGGCCTTGTCTTGAACTCTTAGAGAGCCTCTTCACGGCTATTTCAAGTCCATCTTTCAGTGTCCCCTGATTATCATATGCAACTAAATAATATTTCCTTTGAGATTAAGTGGAGAATCATATTATGATGTCGCATAGAACTTGCATGGCAAGTAATAGTTTAATACCTTATAAACATGTCCGAATCCTCCCTCCCCGAGTATATTGTTAAGAGAAAAGTTATTTGTTGCAGAAGCCAAGGTATCTATTGTAAACAACAATAATTCCAGATCTTTGTTCTGGTGCTTGTTATTTGAACTTATTCCCGAAGCACCAGTCATTTTTCCTGCCAGAAGAAAAGAAAGAATGGATCTCTGTTCTCTGCTAAATACAGATTTCTTAAGAAAATCAAGTATAGTGATCTCTTTAACAATTTTTGTTCGTAGATTGGATTACTAAAACTCTACTTTGAAAACAAACTAAACTGCCTATATCAATACAACATGGAAACAAAGGGGAAGGGGCATAGAAGAGGTTAGAATTTCATGGTGTGAGCGTAACATACTGTTTTTCATCTGATGCCCTTTCCAAACATAAAAGACCACGGCCAGGCCAAGGAACAGAATTCCTGTAGACAGCACAACGCTTAGTATGATCCTTTTCTTCTCCTTGGCTTTCGTTTCAATCTTTGCGCCGTAACCGTTATCTGCACATCAAGGAGTAAAAAAACTAAAGTTGGAAGATAGTAATAGGTAATGCCAATATGTTATGTATGTGTTTTGTTAGTTAATATGGCTTGAGAATTTTCATTAGTTATCTGGATCCTTTCATCACAGTTCATATGATAAATATATACCTGGTTCTGAAGCAGCCATCCTTGTATAAATATCTGGTTCATTTTTAACAAGTATTCTGACATCTAGCAGATCATCGAACCAGAGCAAGCATCCACTTCCTCCATCCCTGATATCTAAATTTGAATAAGCTGTACAACTGCAGTTATTCAAGCACGTGTTCTTGCAATCTTCAAGATTCATGCTCCTGTTAAACCATGATGTTTTTGTCTGAGGCAATTTCACAGCCGAGACCTTTTGAAACCAGTCTCCAGAGCAATTCAGTGGAGTCCTTCTAACACAACCACTTGACCAGTCCGTCAACTCCCATTCGCTTTGAACTTTTGGTACAAATCCATTCAAGCAACCACACATTGGAGAGCTGTTGATACTACAGATACCATTTGCACCACATAGCGCATAACGTTCACAATTATCGGTATTTAAGGTGAGATAAAGCAGCCAACTTCGTGTTTGTTCAATCCACGTGAAGCGCTGGACATCACCACCCTGAGTTACCGTGACCCTCCAAGGCATTGACTTACTGAGAACATGATATCTGTAAAATATCTCCTTCTCATTAAAAACAAATTCAACTGAGTATTTGGGATTTGGTTTTGCTTGAGGCATGCCACTGAACCTCAGACCATTCCACGGTCCAGACCGGTGCTTAACAATTGAATTCTCCACCACAATTATCTCAGGATATCCAAAAGGAACAAGAATTTCTGAAACATTACCTCTTGAAGGATCATCCGGTGACTTCCAGGATGTAATGTAAGAGTCCATCCCTGTTATTCTATTCCGTCCTAGCTTCATTTCAGGCAATAATGTATCAGCTGGATGTTCAAAACTCTGCCACAAGGAACTTTCCAGGTTATCATCACCCTCCTCCTTCACGACAAGGTTTCCCGAGTCCAGAAGTTGAGCGGTTGGATTAGTCGCAGGTCTCGATGAGTCGGAAGACCAAACTATGCTCCCGTTCCGATTTGAAAGGACAAGAATTCCTTGGTTGGTAAGCCTTAAAACACCTGATGAATCATTAAGTGGGGTTTCTCTGTTGGCAACCCAAACTACAGTCATCACAGATATTTTGGCATACCATATCCCCAGGTATCGATTTGCAGAATTCCCCGGGCTAAAAAATCCCAACTCATAGGCTCCATTAGCTGAAAGAATAGTGTCACCATCTCTAATGGATTGAGTTGTTTTTATGGTGTCAATTGCAGTGGATGTATCAATAATCAACAATAAAAAGAGAAATATGGGAGCTATGCGATCCATTGTTGTTCTCATGATTTCTTTGCAGCTCACATCTTTTATTTCAAAGTCAGACTTAGATGTAGAAATACTCCCATGTAAAAAAAAAATTGCGATCATATTAATTAGTTCCATTTAGAGGTACACTACCCACTGGTAAGCTTTATTTCTAAATGACAACGCAATTTCTATATTTTTTTTCAAAAATTGACATGCAGCGTTGTTAAGCTTAGTAAAGCTGAAGTAGTCATTTGTCATTGTCCCGTTGGACTTGGACGAGTAAACTTGCACTCCTCTTCATCGAAAATTCTTTCATTATCGAGCAAACCTTGTATACCATTACGATTACGATATATTTTTGTCGGTGTTTATTAATAAATATAGCAAAAGATTATTTTGTTTACCAATAGATATACAACAACAATTTATTGATAGATCTGTTGATATTTCTTTTAGTATTTATTAATTTTGTGACTTGACATTCAATAATAGCCATACAAATTTAAGAAGCTAATTGGTTGTTTGACTTCAAATGCAATTAATTAGCCAGCATTCATTCATCTTTCTTTTATTGCTAGGAATTCTGATTCTTATTCAGAGTGTTGGTTTATGGCAATGATCAAGTTGTCAACGACCCTTATTTCACGCAATAGACTGTGGTTTATATATGAATCGGGTTTTCAACGCCTTTGATTCCACGCCAAATCGACATTTGTTTTTTGTCCTTTTCGGAGATGGGCTGCTGCTCTTTCTTGAGCTAATTTAATCTTAGGTTTCTTTATCAAAAAACCTCCATGTCTTCTTAGACTTGAAACGTGAAGTCATGCTATGGAAGGTCAGGGGGGTGAATGAATGGACGACTAATCCTTCAAACTACTGATGAAACCTTCAGATGTCTCTCTGTTATCTGTCCCAATTGCGACAGTCATGACAGAACTACAGATACTTTGACGTACAAGGAGACGAGTTGTCTTTTTTGACCCAGTCACAAACCTTCCTGATTGAGATGTTTTTATGATTTCAGCCATGAAGACCAGATATTTTAAATTCTCTCATATATTGTATTGAATATTTATCAAAAGTATCCGAGGGCAGGATTAGAAAATTTTGAGGAGGCCTGGCCAGAATTGATATATAAGGATATTGCTAAGTAGAATATAAAGGTTAAGAGTAAGAACATGAGGATTACAGGGTGTTATTAGGATACTTGATTAGAATTAACTTTAAATATTAGGAATTATATATTTTATATTTTTAATAACTTCGAGGGAATTCGATACCTTTAGTAATCTCAATTATTAACATAAACTCTGAAAGATGTTATCGTCCGTATGACTTTTACTACTTGTTAGATGCACGATCTACATTTCATTTACGTTGTTGCTCACATGGGCTTTTCATTTCATTGGTGCACTGCGCGATCTCCACGCTAATGTAACCATACTCAGAGACCTCTCCTACACAACAGGGAGGCAACTCTACTCCTTGTCGTCAAGTAAATCTATGTCATTCTAAATAACTCGAGGGTGTATAAATACCCAAGGATTATAGGTGCAATGCATAACTTCATCATATTAATACATATATATATATATATATATATATAAAAACCTTACTCTTTTGCATCTCTTTATCCTCCTCTTATTATCTCATACACATGTCATAAAAAGCAAAGATTATGCTTACTAGATAAAAGACTCATCTTTGTGTAAGAGTGTATTGGACGCCCATCTTTAAATGGATTTTATTTCTATAAAGATAAACTTGAACAAGACAAGTTCATTAACCCTTAAGAACAAGTATAGAATATACAACGCATCCTAGGGATGGTTATAAAGCATGACAACATAATGTGTAAAATCTTCCCCATCATGTTCCATGAGTGTACATTAACCTACTACCATTGCTGAGTACATGGTTATATTATAAACTTTTTTTAGTTTGTGTGTGAAGCTTAATATCTCTTTTAACCTAAGCATATCTACTATAAAACTAGCTCAACCAAGCTCTTTGTAATCGCCCAACAGGTGAATGAAAATATCAAAGCTTATTTAAAAATATTTAACGAATAAGTGTTCAATGTGAAAGATTTACTGAAACCTATTACTATTAAGATCTTAATTAGTGGGATACACAATTGTTTTTTATGGAAATTATTATAGCTCTTTTGAATCGAATTCACATTAAAGTATAATAAGTAATAGAAAACCACATTCAAGTGGAATTTATGAATAACTTAAAGGTTCATTTCATTATAAGTTGATATATTCTAATTTGATAACCACTTTATTAAATACTACCGAGTAAAAGCATTTTTAAACATTATAGAAAAGGACTTCATATAATATATAATACTCATGGTCAATAAAAGGAAACACTATCAGGTACAACTCTAAGAAATATTTTCTTTAGTATAAAAATAGGGATATGATATGAAAAATTGATATGTATATATAAAAAAAAGAAATAAGAAAAAAATTAATCGCTAAAAGATATCTTTTATAGTTTGTTAAGAAAAAAGATAAAGTCTAAAAAGCAAGGATAGGAAATCAACACTCTCCATAAGATTTTACCTTATATTACATTAATCTTGGATGAAATTTTAAAAGGAGACAATTCTAATAGGATCTGAAATGCTTAAGAAAAATAATAATTATTTTTTTCATGATAACAAAATCTTAGTCGGAATTTTTTATGTTCAATCTGAAAGACACAGAAAGGTTAACCTTTCCTATAAAAATATATGGATAATTACCATAGTCCTTTCTAATTATAATATGTAAATGGTATTGATATATGATGGAAGTCCTATGAATATTATCTTCAATAAAACAATAATACAAATAGATGTTAACCCATTTAAATTAATCAATTTCGTTTTATTAGGATATAGAGAAAAGACATATTAGTAAAAGGTCTATTAGATCTACCGATCATTATTAACACTTGTACTAATCCACACCCTATAACAAACTTTGATGTTAATCAAAATATATGTGACTTTCCCCGTGATGTGGCCTCAAAAAAACACTTGTTTTTGTTTTTTTTATTTTATCCTTTAAAATTAAATTTATTTTTTTATTAAGTTATCTCACTCTCATGACATGGATTACAGGTTTTGTAAGTTAACTCGATTGATTAGGGTTTTTTTTTCTATTTAACTATTTTTTTTAATTTCATCATTTAATATTGGGTTAATTAGAAATTAGAGTTCATGATTTGTTTTATAAGTTATATGTTAGGTTAATCTAGTCTCATAACCCAATAATAATGATTAATAGGTTAATATAAGTTGACTCTAGTTGTTTTTTGTGTTTTTTTTTAATTGATTTTTTTTTTATTTTTATCATTCAATATTAGGTCGGTTGAGAATTGAACTTCATAATATATTTTAATTTATTTTTTATGGGGATATTTTGGTCTAATGATCAAGGTTGCGAGTTTTGGTATTTTAACCTCTGTTAAATCAAGTTATTTTTATTTTTATTTTTTAAAAGATTATCTCGATCTCATATCTTTCAACATTAGATTTGCTTTTTATTGAGTTATCCTCATCTTATAACCAAGAATGCGAGTTTGGTATGTTGATCCAGTTGACTTAATTTTTTTAATTGATTTTTTTCTTAATTTTATTATTTAATATTATGTTTGATTGAGAATTGGACTTCATAATTTATTTTGGTTTGATTTTTATGAGGTTATTCTAACCTTATAATCTGGGAATAATGTTTAATAGGTTAAGCCATATTGACTTAGCTCATTTTTTGTATCATTTTTTTAATTAAAAATTTTACAAATTTCATTGTCAATATTGAGTCTGACAGGATCGGTTGAGAATTAAGCTTCGTAATCTATTTTTATATGCTCATTATAGGGTTATCTTAGTCTCATGATCAAAGTTGTAGATTTGGCAAGTTAATCCAAGTTATATTAGGTCATTTTTTATTTTATTTCTATGAGGTTATCTCGGTCTTATGACCCAAGTTATGAGTTTGATAGATTGACTTAGGTTATTTTTTATGTTTTTTTAATCTTATTCTTTAATATTGGACTAATTAAGAATTAAATTTTATAATTTGTTTTAATTTTTTATATGAGTTATATTAATCTTATGCCACCTTGAAATTTTTTTAAAATTAAACTATATTTTTATTTGTCATCCATGTTGTATTTAGACTCATAAAATCAATCGGGTCATAACAAGTTAACCCCATATAATTTAGATTTTATTTCCACTAAAAAAACACCAATAATATCTTAATATTCTTATTATATTAAAAACAAATTAACCCAACTTGTAACATAACATAGTCCATCAATAATCTAGTTTAATCGCCTATCTATGTTGTTTTAGGCTATGTTTGTTTCTCGGAAATTGGTTTCTGAAAAATCACTTTCCAAACTTTCTTGTGTTTGTTTGTCATCAGAAAAGTTGATCAATGAAAAATATTTTCCAGTCAAAGAAAAATTTGGCTTGGTTTTCAGGAAAGTGTTTTCCTGAAAAATTTGGATGGAAAACATTTTCCAAAAGTTGTGAAAAATTTAGAACTATCATATTATTTGCTGATTATATCAAATTTGATCATCAAACTTTTAATTGCTAAATATTTTGTTTTAAATATTTATTTTTTAATTTTATCTCTTAAAATTTAATTTTTATATTAACTTTAATCCTTATTTTTATAATTGTTATTTTTTTTCTTATTATTTTTTATTAAAAAATTTTATCTATCAAATTTTATCCTCATTTTTTTTATTGTTAATTATTTTATTTGAAAGAATTTATTAAATGTTAACTATTATTATTTTAATTTCTTTATCTTTTATTTTTTTTTAATTTGATCTTTATTATTTTAATTATTATTTATTTTATTTGAGATAGTTTATGAATTATATATTTTTTTTAATTTTATTCTCATTCAACCTTTTAATTTGTAAGATTTGGTTTTAATTATTAGAAAAATAAAATATTAATAAATTATTTTCCAACTCATTTTCCATTACATAATCAAATAATAAAAAATATTTTTTAATTTATTTTTTATTATACTACTAAATATCAAAAAATAATTTATTTTTTAAAAAAAAACTACTTTTCTGCTAACTGCAAACTGCAAACAGTACTTCCGCTCCATACATATGAAATCAAACGCTTGACGGGCCTTGTCCAGGAACAAAGGCTTCACGTGTAATGTTTTTAGAAACGACCTGCTTACAAGCATAGATATCAGATCCCATACCCATCATGAAAGGCCTTGTCTACTTCTGGACCTCCTACAAGCCCAAATTATTTAGGCTCGCTTTTCTCACAAGAAGAAGAAATCACCACGTTATGTCACCACGTGTTCGAAGAAAATCCTCAGCAAAAAAATGTTCTCCCGCTTGGAATTGATTTTAAGAGACTAACATAATATTTACAAATTCTTGGTTAACTTCTGGTGGAGGCAGGTGATTTCTTTGTTTCTCATTGGTGTATGCAAGTCATAAACTTTATTCCTTTTAATATTTGTTTGTTTAGTAGTTTTTATATAATAATATCATCATTAAAAAATCATAATTCAAAATATTTTTATTTTAAGCTTTCTATTAAAATACAAGTTAAACAATCATATTTATATTAGCTATATGTCTATTTAAAAAAATAATAATGAATAATTATAAAATTATTCTATGAATTCCTAAAATATAGGATTGAAATACAAGTTAAAAATTAAAATTTGACCCACATAAATAAAATAATGGAATATTAATGTTGAAATCCAATTAGTCAACTTTGAGGAAGAGTTTTTTTATTTAATAACTGCACATTTGATGAACGCAGCAGTAAGATAAAAAAAAATCTCTTTAAAAAACTGGTATTTTCTCTATTCATAACAATATGTTTTATTATTCCATCAAAACTTGCCTAAAATAATTTAAAATGTTAAAAGAGAAAGATAGTTTTTTTCATCAATTCACATCCAATATTTTAATTTAAAGAGGCTTATTATAGATGTAGGTACAATTTCTTTCACAGTTTAATTTCTTTAGATATTCATTTGAATATGAAAATGATCAAGTTATATATAATATGATGGGACTTATGATTTTATTTGATCATGTTCACAATTAAATAATTAATTTTTTTTAAAAAAAGCCATATTTATGCGGATATAACTACATATGAATGCAAGAAAACAAAACAGCTACGAGGAATCTTAGTTATGAAGCCTAAACAAAGAGGGTCAGCTCCTACAAAAAGACGTTTCTTTTACTTTACCTGTGAATCAAATTATCAGTTCAAAAAAACACGTACATTGATTAAATATACACTTACCCTGGTACAGAAGCATAAAAAAGAATCTGAAGCAGCTAGAGTAACTAGGAGAACCTGTGGAGCACAATATCGAAACGTATGAAGCACAAAATGTAATCTATCTTGCCTGTAACACTGAAATAGAGCATTCATTAGCTGAATATGGTTTGCTCTGGGATGATGAATAAGCCACTTCTATCAGATCCCTTTCTGTAAAAAAGCCAGGTTGTTTAGGCTTAGGCAATGCATCTTCGTTTCCCAACATCAAAACAACATACGACATGCTCGGCCTATCTGTTGGATTTTCTTGAACGCACAACAGACCCACGTGAATCGAACGTAGCACTTCAAATAATTTGCATGATTCAATTATTGATTCCGAAACTAGTTCCAAAGGCTTGCCTTCTATGAATAGTCTCCAGGCCTGATTGATGAGTGAGACAATGTCATTAGAAAGAGATTTGGTATCTCGAAATCATTCAATGTTACAATTTTGAGACTTACGTGCCCGAGAAGGTTGAGTTGGTGATCTGGATGACAGAATCCTCTATTTCTGTTCCGGCTCACTATCTCTAGCACCAACACACCAAAGCTAAAGACGTCTGATTTTGTCGAGTAGAGACCATGAAATGCATACTCCGGGGATATGTAGCCACTAGACATGCACCAAAAATGTCAGGCTGAATTTGCGAGCAACGGAAGTAAACTACACTTGAGGAGATACTTACTATGTTCCCATCACTTTGTTTGTATTAGCTTCGGTTTCGTTTCCTCCAAAACTTCTAGCCAGGCCAAAGTCCGAAATTTTTGGATTCATTTCATGATCTAATAATACATTGCTAGCTTTCAGATCTCTATGGATTACTCTTAGCCTTGAATCTTGGTGAAGATAAAGGAGTCCACGAGCAATCCCTTTGATCACATTGTAGCGCATAGGCCAGTCTAGTTGCGAAGTGTGTGTTTCATCTGCCAGGGTTAATTCATTCAGCTTCTTGTAAAATATATAGATGCATATGAAAAAAAGTAAGAAAACAAGGTAATGCATACTTATTTTGATGAATTTTCAAATGCATATGGCAGTATGAATAGCTATGAAAGGAAAGGAATGAAAGATCTTCTCGAACATTTTCGACAAAGATTTCAAAGGAATCTAAAGGATTTTTCTTTTTGTCTTGTGAGTTTCCATTTCTTCTCATACTGCTGTCTCCAAATGATCTAGGAAACACACCGTTGGGCCGCTGGTCAATGCAAACTCACCCATAATTGGTGTGTGTATCTGTATGACCATAACAAAATATTGTAATTGAACGTAAATTTGTACAGTTTTGAGCGATCCTAACCGAAAATAAAGAAGTCCAAGCTTTTGTTAGACAAGAACTCGTAGACCAGCATTTTCTCATCTCTCTCAATGCAGCATCCTAGAAGCTTCACTAAATTTCGGTGCTGAAGTTCCACAATGTGCTTGACTTCATTGATAAACTCATCAAGCCCTTGTCTCGAAAACTTAGAGAGCCTCTTCACGGCTATTTCTCGTCCATCTTTCAATGTTCCCTGAAAAAAGTCGCTCGATATTGTCAGCAAGCCATACATTGTTTCATGAAAGTTGAGAATCATGCTTTGATGCTGCATACTATATTACTTCTTGCTTCTGTTGGAACTTATACAGTTAGAACACTTTCCCACTACGAACATTGGTGCCAGTAGGTTGTATCATGAAATTGAGACGCCATAAAAAAATTGCATGATTGTGTATAGACTAGTACCTTATAAACAGGTCCAAATCCCCCTTCTCCCAGTTTACAGTCTTCTGAGAAGTCCATTGTTGCATCAGCCAAGGTATACAAATCAAACAACGGTAAATCCAGGTTTTCTTTCCTGAGGTTGCTATTACAATTTCTCTCGAAACCACCACTTACTTCTCCTGCAAGCAGATCTGCTATGAGTAAAAAGGAAACGAGTGATCTCTATTTTCTGTGTGCAAGTTTCATTTGAGACTGTACTTAAATTGTACCTTCAATTACTGAAAAAAAAAATTCAAAATAAATTAAACTGCCTATCTGTACATAGGTATGGGGGGAGGAGATTGGTTAGAATCTCATGAAGATAGTAACATACTGTTTCTCCGTTGCTTTCTATTTCGAATACACAAGACCATGGCTAGGCAAAGGAGAAGAGTTCCGGTAGATAACACAGAGCTTAGTATGATCATTTTCTTCGTGTTCGATTTATCATTAACCTTTGTGCCGTCACCATTACCTACACACAAGGGAGAGGAAAATTTGAGTGAATTGACAGTAATAGAAAACGCCACCTTGCCCTTACATTTGCTTGGTTAGAACTATAATATTCTGGGCAGGCAAATTAGTCCCTTATGCTACAAGTTTCTTTCCGCTTAATGATATATAACTGATAGGAAATGCAGTCATCTTGTTGAAAGATGCTTTATGTAGCGTTTGCTGTAATGGTTAGAATGAAAAAGAAAAGAATTTTCTTGTCTAGCAATATGTTTCTGATCCTATAATTTTCTTGAGCTACTTGATATTTGAATGAATCATTTAGGCAGTTATTCTAGTTAATATAAGACTTTTCTATAATGTACCAAAGTCCAAGTATTAGCTATTGATTTGTCTAGAGGATAACTTTCGTACCTAGCTCTGAAGCAGCCATCCTTAGATAAATATCCTGTTCATTTTGACTAAATACTCTAGTATCAACAAGGTCGCCAAACCAGAGCAAGCAACCACTTCCTCCATCCCTGATGTCCAAGTTTGAATATGCTGTACAGCTGCAGTTCTTCAAGCACATGTACTTGCATTCCTCGAGATTCATGCTCTTGTTAAACCATGATGTGATCGTCTGAGGTAACTTCACCCCAGAGACCTTTTGAAACCCATCTACAGAACAATTTAATGGAGTTCTTCTAACACAACCACTAGACCAATCCGTGGCTTCCCAATCACTTCGAATTTTGGGTACAAATCCATACAAGCAATCACACATTGGAGAGTTGTGAATACTGCAGATACCATTTGCACCACATAGGGCATAACGTTCACAATTATCAGTATTTGCTGTGCTAAAAAGCAACCAACTTTGTATTTGATCAACCCATGTGAAGCGCTGTAGATCGCCTTCTGGACTTATCACAAGCCTCCAAAGCATTGAGTAGTTGACAAGATGATATCTGTAAAATGTCTCATTCTCATTATAAACAAATTCGAATGTGTACCTGGGATTCTGTTTTAATTGATTTGAGCCACTAAACCGGAGACCATTCCATGGTCCAGACCGATATTTCACTTTTGAATCCTCGATCACTAGTATCTCCGGATACCCACTAGGAGAAAGCGTATCTATAAAATGGCCTCTGGCAGGATCATCAGGTGACTTCCAAGATGTCAATGACCAGTCCATTCCTGTTATTTTGTTCCATCCCTGCTTCATTTCAGGCAATAATGTATCAGTTGGATGCTCGAAACTCTGCCACAAAGAATTTTCCAGGATATCATCACCCTCCTCTTTCACAACAAGATTTCCTGAATCAAGAAGTTGTGCAACTGGATTCCTCGTAGGTGATCTCGATGTGTTGGAAGACCAAATTATGCTCCCACTGCTATTGAGAAGGACAAGACTTCCTTTGTTGGTAAGCCTTAAAACGCCTGATGAATCATTAAGGGGTGTTTCTCTGTTGGCAACCCAGACTGCAGTCACGACAGATATTTTGCCAAACCATATCCCCAAGTATCTGCTTTTGGATTTGCCAGGCTTGAAAAATCCTAACACATAGGTTCCATCAGCTGAAATTAGGGTCTGACCATCTCTAATGGACTGAGTTGTGTTGATGGTGTCAATGGCCGTAACTGTTTCTAGAATCAGCAATAAAGAGAAACAAAGAACAAGTACGGGAATGTAATCCATGGATGGTCTCATCTCATTTTTCTTTCTTGTAGCTAAAGGTTTTAAATATATGGGTGGCTTAGACTAGAAAATAATCAAATATTTATCGTTAGATAGTGCATACTTCCAGACCTGTCTTGTCACTGTCGTCTGGAGGGCTGAGAGAACAATATTCCATGGAGTGGGAAACGCCACATGTAAAAATATTGATAGTCAAGAAAAGGCTGAAGGAAGTGGGGATTATCATGGCCAAAGTCGAGCGCGCCACCCACCCCACTACATTATCAAGTCTAAAAGTTAAACGGTTTGATTAATGATTGAGAAACTACTCTGGTTTCGTTACCTTTTGGCGTTGATTTACTCTCTTTTCTGCGTGGGAATTTCCGTTGTTTTTCCTACTAGGGATAATTCAAGTAAACGGAAACTAAAGATATCAGTTAATAAATAATTATAATTTTTTATTTTTTTACGAGTAAAAATTCCTGCAAATATGAACATTAAATTTATATGTTTATTGTCTCTAAAATAATAATAATAATAATAAAGTTTATCTTCTTAAAAAGTTTACAAAGTTTTAAATCAATTTTAAACTCTACTTTAGTTATGAATCAAAAACAAAAATTTAAAAATAACAAGAAAACAACTATAAAATCTAAAACAATACATGAAATTCAAAAATAACAAGAAAAATTATAAAACTACCAAAATCAAGCTCTCAAGGCTAGATTTTTTTAAATTTAAAGATTCTACAGTTAAAATAGTAATTTCAAATAGTGTTATGACTTTTTTAAATCATCATTTTAGTCTAGTACATCCAAACCGTCTCTTAAACCTAAATCTATCTCACTGATCATAAACGCATTTATTAGATTATTCATGTAATCTATTTGGAAGAAATTCTTATTTAGTTGTCAGATCCATACTTTATTATTCAAACTCACTTGTTGTTATAAGACCAACTACATATTCTACTCAGATTGAAGAAAATTTCTCTTCGAATTCTGTTCCTCCTCCAAATTTTATACATATAAAATATAATTATAAATATCGGAAAGAGTTCATTCTCGACTTTGTCCATCAATGAATTTGTGGCTATTTTGCAATTCATCATTAATTATATTAGTATGAAATAGTTTCTTTTTATAAGTGTTCTTGTTTTTTCTATCTATCCAACTTGCAAATATAGTAAAATCACAACACTATAACACTATTTCTATTCATAATAATAAAATCATAATAATAAATGTTTTATCTATATCAATAATAGTTCATCATTATATCAATTTCATTATATATTAATGTTTTACAATTTAATCAAAATTATCTTCTTCCTTTTCTTTAATTCCATCATCATCATCATGTCCATCATAATCTTCTTTATTGAATTGATAATTATCGATATTATCATCTTCATTGACTTTTGTATGTTCAATGGTTTTCTATATATCATTTAACTCCTTAACATCAATATTAACATAAACATTCTTAACAATATGAAAAATTGAATTTTTTTTTAAGTTGATAAATAAATCAACTTGATATGTATTAATTAACTTAATAAATTGAAAGACATCATCTTCTGTAGTTACTTCATCATTACCTTCCTAAACAACATGGATATAACCCTTACATTTGGTTTTCACCATAGATAATCTATCAACCCTAGAAAGCTCTTTTTTAAACAAAAAAGTATATATGTAATAAACTTATTGGCATTGCTTGAAAAAAATAAAGATATTGTCAATGTTGTGAAGTCTAGCCTTTATTTTAATTTCAACCAAACAATGATGTGAATCTACTCTGATTTGTTTATCGATGGTATCATACTAATAGTATTTGAATAATTTTTTTATTAAGTTTGTTATGATATTACAATTTAATCACCTCTTATAAATTTCTATAATTATCATTTTTAAATTCAATAGAAGTTGAACCTTTAAGATAAACTCCATTATTATAGATCTTTCTATCTTGACTATACTCTTTAGTATGATACATATATATGTTGATGAAATAACTGTTGTAAAACTTGATCCTTTTTTTAGAACCCAACATAGTAAATTCAAGCATTCTCAATTGATAAACTTGGTATTTGATTAAAAGCATTAACAGTTAAAAATTTTTTTTTAATGAAATTAAATATTACAAGAGATAAGAAAACATTATTAAGTAGCGTTCAAAACCATGTTGTAAATTGTTCATCTTGTAATTATAAAATTTAAGATTTAATCAATTATGGATTTTAAGATAATTGATAATGTTGCCTACGATAAAGTTTTCAATCTATCAGTTTATAAAAGTATGAAAAAAAATATTTTAAAATAACATGATAATATTCCTTTACATATGGATGCATCTGGATTTATAATAATTTGTAGAAATCTTTCAAAAAATCAAAACATTTGGATGCATCTGCATTTGTTTCTTTATTTATGATTGAATATTCCCTTACATCACCCTAATTTATTTTTCATTGCATCCATAATCATATTTTTATAATGATTACTATTATCATTTACAACTCCATGCATATCGTTAGAACTAGAAGTTGACCTAACCATCTTTTTTATCACGATCTTGTAAGGAATATATGGTTTTTTATATGTAAACCAATAAAAATATTTATCAATAAACCTTTTTTTATAGAAAATGTATTGTAACAACTTCTGAATTGATAACTTTTTATTTTTACACCTCTTATATAAATATATAATATCACTTCTACTAATATTTTTCGGATTAGATAATACATATTTAATAAAATTCTCAACTCCATTATAATAATTCATCCTTCGTAAATTTTTGGGTGAAACTCAATACATCAAAAAGTGATCATCCATTACTTATATGAAACTTATATTGAATATTGATGATTACATGTATTAATTAATAATGTGAACTAAACAAATTATTGGTATCCAATTAATTAGGTATTATTGGTTTAACTTAAACTTATTCAATTTATTTTAATGGTACTCTTGAATCATTACCAATTTTCTATAAAAATTCAAATTCCTTTAAATTTATCAAAATTCTCAACTGAGCAATAAAATTGATAAAATATGAAATGTACCTATTATATAAGTTATTAATTATGTTATTACAAAACAACTAAGTTATGAAATCAAACTCAATTTCATCAAATGAAAAACAAATAAAAGTTTTTCAAAAATCTCAAACAAACTCTAACATGTTCAAATCATATATTTATAAAACAAATTTATATGAGAAAAGCTCTAAAATAAGTAAACACTCAAACAAACTACATATACTACGTCAAAATATCAAAAAAAAAATCAACATTTTAAAAATGAGTTACAACAAAAAACAAGTAGTTTTGTTTACTTGATGTGATGAATCTTTAAAAGAAATTGAACCAGATAAGGATGTTGACAGACTAAATAGTAGGGTTATTAGATTTGTGATGATAAGAACTTGATTTATGATAAAATAAAAATAGAGGTGTTGTTTGCTATTTTCTACGTAACAAAAACAAAGAAGAAGATGAAATTAGGGAGGGGGCGATAAGGGTTCTTCTATTAGGTTATAACTTAAATATTACAAATGGATTCATCAATGAGTATTAGCGACAAACATATTTTCTTGGTAATTCTATATATAATAATGACATGTTATTTATTTTTCATTCTTTCATTTTTAATTGTAATTCCTTTTGTTGTCACCAAGAAAAAAAAAATATTAGTGAATGTCAAGAGAAATAATAAAAAAATATTTTTTTGAGAAAAGTCATTGTTATTTACCGACAAATTTTTATTATTCGATATTTTTATTTATATTTGATAATTTTTTGATAGCTTAAGATGTAATTTAAGATCCTTTATAATATTTACAATGTTTTTTAATTAATGCCTTTTCTCTAAAGTTACGTGTATGATACATTGGAATCAATTATAAGATTATTAAATCATACGAAGATGATTTAGATGAAATCAACAGATGAATAGAATAAAAAAAATCCACTTGATTAAATATATTTTTATTTGGACTTCGTGATGACTGTTAATCACAAGAATAAAATTACTTGCGTGACTATTAAAGAGTTATTTAAGTTCATCATTAAGTATTTTACAATTTTAATTATATAGATTGAATAAAAAAATAATTTATATTTTATTGATTATAAAAGTTGTTTGTTTTGCTCCACAATGATACTTGATGATAACCATACAAGTGAAAATTATTCTTAAATTTAAAATAATGTATCGCAATAGTAATTTAATTGATCAACAAGATTAAATAGGCAAATAAATTAGACTCCGAAAGTATAAATAATGTTTAAATGATAAATTTAATCGATCAACTAAATTGAAAAGATAAAAAAGAATTTGGATGGCTGATGTGCTATATGTGGCCAAAGGTTTTGAACGCCACAGATTCCACGGCATTGGTATTTATTTTGTCCATGGTAAGGCTAGTTGCCTTAGTGGACCTACCCTACAAGTCTACTAGACCTACAATGAGGAAGAAAGAAATACTTGAAGGACTCGTCCTCTTTTCAACTATTTTAAAATACTTTTTGGCCTCTTTTGGAAATGTAAAGAAATTAATATAGGCAAATGATTCATTCAGCGACTAGAGCATCATCACCCGAAAGTTGGCTCTCAAGTGGGAAGATTATGGGTTCTTTAGAATAGTGGTAGAAATTATTTTTTAAATTTTTTTTAAAAAATATATAAATTATATTTCAACTCAACGCTAACAATTGCTAAAGAAACATTTTTTTTATTTAAAATTGAATTTAGACTTGATGATTTATTTAAATTCTTTCGTATAAATCAGAAGGGGGTTTAGATTTAATCCGTGTTTTAATGCTTCTTTTTATTAAGATTTAGAAGATTCAAAATGTTTTATGTATAAACTCCCTTCGGCTCTTCTATTTGTTGTAGAAGAAAAGAATGAGAGAGTCGCACAGGCAGTGACGGAAATACAACAGCAAACATGCCTAGGAGGTATGACACTCCCAAAGGTTGATTAAATTGTTGCTTTTAGCCCTTCAAATGTATCCTTGAATTAAGGTTTACTATATAGAGATATGCATCAAAATTAAAAATTACTATACAACCATTA